TATTGACAGTGGTTTTTAATTTATATTTGATATTTTGTGCAATTTTTTTTATACAATGTGTACCCATCTTAGTGTTTTAGGTACTTTCCTTTAATTTATTATGTGTGTGTGGGTTTTTTGTGGCCTCTATATTATTACTATATCATATATTAATATAATACTATGAAAAATGTTTCAGTATGTAAATGACTGATAGAAAGCAAAGTTTGATGTTTTCTGTAAACTTGTGCTCTATCATGAAGTGTAAAAAAGTTTTGTTTCTTGGTTACAAATCGAGAAAAGAAACTGAAATCAACTATGATTAAAAAATTCTTGTTATAAACATTCACAAATGGTAGTTTAATTTTTTGTCAAGCAAATACAAAAAAATCATAAGCAAAATAAATCATGTCTATCACAAAAAATGAAAGGATGTTTATTTCTTTTGATACAGCTTCATACTAGGTTTTCTTTTATACTTCACTCTAAGTCATTGTTTATTGTAAAACATCATAAATGTTTATTTTGCACCTGAAACTGAATATCAAAATACAAATGAATACATGTACAAATGTATGTAATATTGTATTAATATTTCTTTTACCTTTTCATATTGATGTTTTTATAAATATTGTTTGATAGTATAAAAAACACTGAAAATGGGTACACTTAAATATGTTTTTGTTTGCATGTTGCTTTGTGTTTTTTGTTTTCTTTCCCTAGGATAACCAAGAGGCAATGAAATCAACAGATCAAGGCTTCTAAAGAAAAATCTTATGAGCTGTTGGGAAGTTTATTTTTATTAGCTTTGTTTACTTCTATTTTAATCCTTAAATTTGAAAATTAATGATATATACAGCAACTGTACACGTAAAAATGTACTATCCATCTTCAATACAGCAAATCAACAACACAAGTAACCCAACACATCTAGTTGTCAACATACATACATGTACATACTGCTGTTTAACAATATACAATGCAAGTGTCTATACAGTATCTGTATTATACAAGTATTTCAAGCTCAAAATTACCATGCAAAAAAAATGTAACGAAATATAAAATAAGCATGATAAGAGAAACTAAAAAAAAAAATGCCATCTTCACATATTTCATCAAATATCTATAGTTGTTATATTCCATGTCATTTGGTCACTTGTACAGAGTTGTCTCATAGGCAATCATACCACATCTTCTTATTTTTATATAAACTTACACAAGCTCAAAGTACTTTTTAAATGTGTTGTTTCACAACTGCATTAACTCAAACCTGTAGCTTTAAAATGTAAAGAAGATGGATACGATGTTATTAAACAAATTCATTGTTTTTTATATGCAGGTGATCGCTGCAGACTTACCGAAAATGCTATTCCTTCTGTGTTCGAATTTAAGATGAAGACATGTTCTGAAGAGTCTCCAAGAGCAAAAAGATTTAAAAGTAGATCTGATACTTCATCAGCAACACCACACTTAATTAATGATGATTCTTTAGAGATCCAATATGAAACTGAAATTGAAACTACAAAAGAAGCTCAGGAGCCAGTTAAATTCAATCTTAATGAATCCTCACAGCAAAACCAAAGTATCCAATGTGACATTCCATCATTTGGTAAATTTTCAATAGAATCGTTCAAAGAAGATGACAAAATTATCAACTATTACACTGGTTTTCAAAATTTTGACCATTACATGATGTTTTTTCATTGTCTTGGACCAAGTGCATTTGAACTTGATTTTAGGTGTAATTTACTCGATCCTATTGATCAACTTTTTATGACTTTAATCAAACTTAGACAAAACAAAGAGGATATTGAATTGTCAATGCTTTTTAAAGTATCACAATCCACAGTTTCTAGGATCATCATCACTTGGATTAATTACCTGTATTTTCAGCTTAAAGAAATTAACATTTGGCCTTCTAAAGAAATAATAAAAGAAACCATGCCTAGAGATTTCTCTAAAAAATTTCCCAAAACCAGAGTGATAATGGATGCTACAGAAATACCAATTGAAAGACCATCAAATGTAGAGTCACAGAGTGCAACTTGGTCAAATTACAAACACAAAAACACGTTAAAGACCATGATTGGATGCAGTCCACGAGGAGCTATAACTTTTATATCTGATTCATATGGCGGTTCTGCATCTGACAGACAAATAATTGAGAAGTCTAATTTACTTGACCCTGCATCGAAATCTTTTGAAAAAGGTGATGCCATTATGGCAGATAGGGGTATACTTGTACAGGATTTATTTGCAAATCAAGGGGTTTAAGTTAATATACCAAATTTCCTGAAAGGTAAATCCCAGTTGGATCCAGCTGAAGTTCTTCATGACCGAAGGGTAGCTTCAAAGCGTATACACATAGAGAGAGTTATAGGTTTAACAAAAAGTTTTAAAATATTAAAACATGGTATTTGTAAGTCAAAGCTGCAATTGGGTTCAAGAATAGTTTTTGTTTGTTTTGCAATTTCAAATTTCAGGAAGAATATTGTACATGGAAATGCTTGATGTTTTAAAAACACAATGTGACTTTATACATTTATTTCCCGTGCATCAGGGAGATATGAAGGTTTGTTCACTCAAGAATATTTATATCTCACGAGGGCTTTGCCCTAGAGAAATATGATTTTTCAAGGGGGGAACAAATCTTCATATCACCCGAATCCAAGGGAAATAAATGTTTTATTCCACTGCCTATGCTTTGTTTACTACATGTACATAAAATATTAGTTTGTATACATTTTTATTCCTTATCTGCTAAACAACACATATGCATTGATAAGGTCAAAAAAATAATATGTGTGTTTCCTACTACATCTTTGAAAAAAATTTGGTAAGAAGGTATGGATTTTTTTTTTATTTTACCCTTTTTTTTTACATTCAGTCTATGGGAGAGACATTCTGACTTTAAAAGTGCTTATTGAAAATGACAAAAAAACTTTAGGGTAGGCTATTTTTGAGCTTAAAAAATAAGGAGGGTAGGGTAATGGGAAACACACATCTTTTTTTATTTGTCCTAAACAGTCCGGATCAAAAGTTAATTATTAGTGTATTTGCTTTAGTGTCTGAAATAAATACAAACACGCTAATGATTTTTCCTATAGCTTTTTAACAAAAAAAGTTCAAATCGTTATGTCACACTATGTAGTCCTAACATTTCAGAGAGGAATATGAAGATTTGTTTAATGATGTGTGGGATAGTCTCAACCAATCAAATATTGAACTAACGTGTAAGCTGTTATATACAATTATAGCCTTTGTATGAGGTCGATACAAGGATATATTGACCTGAAAGAAATATATTGACTGAGGACGAAATCCGAGGTTGATATACTTATTTGGGATGATATATCCTGTATTGACCTCATACATGGGCTATAATTGTTATATTATTAATTTCCGACCAAATTTGTATCAAAACTGTCATTTGATTTTGTTGGAATTTTATAGATATCATATTGTCTCCAAGGCAATAACAACATATCAGATGTTATTTCATTTATTTTTATGTTTGTTTTTTTTTACATCGTATGTATTTGAAGATTTTTTTTCTTCAAATACTCGATCATAGATATTTTTTTATAAAATTTAAACAATATCATGAAATTCATTACATGACGTCACAAAGTATATAGGTTTTAGAGTATTCTAAAAATAACCGTGCAATATGCTTTTTGCTATGCAATATGCTTTTTGCTATCCGCCGTTTTCTACCTAGCTTCGAAAATATAGTTTAACATGTGACTATCCCTAAATGAATCAAATTAGTTAAAATATACAAATTAATAATATCAATATGTATAAACAGTGGAATAAAAGGATCTTCTTTTTATTGTACTATAAATTCTAATCATAAAATATGGTAATCTGAAAGGTAACCTTCTTCTGTACAAGAAGATGTGGTATGATTATGAATGAGACAATATCGACCAGAGACTAAATGGCTTGGATGTAAGACATAGATGCAAGAAACTAAAGATCACATAAAGGCCTTCGAAAAACACATACCATAAAGTAAATAATATAACTATATTATAAAAAGCCCAACTTACAAGAGGTAAAATTATTCAAACAACTCAATACTGGTATATTTATCACTAAAGAAAAATTTATTATGATTTTTTTAATTGGCATCACTTTATTTGATTTTAATAAATGAAAATTGTAAAGTTAAGTGTTTGAGATTCTAGCATGTACGTCAAAAATTAGTATTTACTGGTTACAAATATTGCATGTTATAATAATTATCTTGCATCTCAAAACTGTTTAATACATACATGTACTAAATAAATTGGATTATCAAATTAAAGAATTAGCTCTTCAATAATATAAGTTAATAATTTATTTCTTCTTTCATTATAAAGAGATATTTTGCTTGCTTCAGTAAGTCATTCTTAACCTTAAAAGTATAATGGGATAACAGTTCAATCAATTGAATTAAAAGAGTTATCTGTCCCTTTTTGAGAGATTTTTTTATCATTCCTGGTTGATTGTATAGGTAGAAACTTTAGATAAAGATATAAACCAGCATATTACAAAAAAACTTCAAAGAGATTTGTTAAAGGGGCATTTAATTTTCAAATCAAATCAATATATTAGAAAAATAATTTTATACATGTATCAAATTACAAATAAAATGACATTCCAAATTGAATAACTACTAGTTGTAATCAGTGAATATGTATTGATAAAATATTTATTTGTTTTAATTGAATTTCGTATGATTTTTACTACAAATTTACAATGTTGAAGCAACATATGGTCTGAAAACTCTTTGGTAAAATGACTCCAGTTTTGGAACAAGACAGTTATTACAATACTCCTCATTTTTGTACAAACAAATCACATAAGGTATAAACAACAAAGTAACATAGAGATCTTTTGGTGACAAAAAGCTGCCCTTGAATTTGATCATAATAATTACTGCTCTCTTTCAAAACAATATTGCCATTACTATCCATCTGTAAAAAATTGAAACTTGGACCAGGCTTAACATCCTCATTTCTTCCATTGTAGGGCATTTAATTTCGACAATTGCTTTACCATCCTCTGAAATGGCATCAGGTGAAGCACCAAGGAAAGATTTATCAATACTGACATAAAAACCACATCTTTTAGCATTCATATTAAATTTTAAATTAAAAGCCTTCAATGCTTTAGCTTCATAGTTTTTGCCATGACTAAGTGCTTTGCTCTGAATATTTGAGCCATAAAAAAGTGAATGACAAAATTTGTTAGTGTTCCGTCTTGAAGTGACTTTACAAATCTCGCCGAAGGTAGATGCTGTGAGTCTCCATCTTCTTTCTTCTAACCACTTGGGACTGCAACTTTGTAGGCGGGAAGACCTCTCAATCAAATCTATATCTGATTGTGTAACCTATATGAAAACATAATATCATTCTGATTGATTGATTCTAATATCATGATCCTGTAAATTAAAAGAAGAAAAACTTTGAATAATTTAATTTAGTCCACTCCTTTTTGAAAATAATTGTTTATCCATGATTCCATATCTTTATTAAATTAAGACTTAAAATCATTACCAAAGTAAAAATATCTAAAGCATTTTGAAGAACATAATAGGAAAGCTCAATGACAATATTAAAAACCCTCTCTTATTTTGTCGTGTTAAGCATTAGGTAAATTTATACAACAGATTAATGATTGATGAACTTCATGCATCCTTATGTCATTTTTCCTGGGTAACTTGCATTTACATTTTTAGTATATTTCTAGGACAAAGGGGGATAACTCAATTTTTTACCAAACTGTGATCCAAATTTATTGAACCAGTTTTTAATACCTTATTTGCTCTATCAACCCAATGCTCAGTAAAAGGCATGGGACAATAATCATGATCTTTGGCTGCTGCCTGAAAATAAATATAAAACAATGAAGTGATTTATGATATTAATGGAAGAAATGAATATTTATGAATTTATTAAATGTTGTTATGACTCATGAGGGTCAGTGTTTATGATATACATAGATTAATGAATTTACCAATATAGAAATATATATATAATATATAATATGTTATTTTTATTGTATTGTTTATTCTGTTAAACTGTTTATGTTGATATATTTATACAATTATAATAAACAGTCACACTTACCTGAATATCAGCTTTTTCATACAAGTATCTAATTGATAAGTCCATTGATGATACACTGCAGAAGTTTGTTACAGTGTTTTTGATGTGGTCATTGTAACCTGGGCAGTTTCTGTATTTAATTGGTCTAGGATCAGCAAGATAAACTGGTGCCAGCTTTCTCTTAGTTGGCAACTTTTCTGCTTTCACTGGAGACCCTTAAAAGAACAGAAGTAAACTGCAAAGATGCATTTTACTATGCAACAAAAAATCTGGAAGTTACTTTTTATCTAGTTAATTGGTAGCATTTGTCATACAGTTTTTTGTCTCGCCTTGGAGATTATTTGGCCCCGCCCCCTCAGTCAAGGGCTATTGACTTTTGAAACTTTTCATAGTTAACATGTATTAGTTTGTGATTAGGTCAATTTATGGGGAGGAACCACTAATGGTAGGTCAATGATATTTGGTATGCAGTTGTATAAGCATTAGCATATTCATTTTTCATGGAGATTATTTGGCTACGCCCCCTTAGTCATGGTCTATAGACTTTGAAAATTTTGCTAAGTTAACATGTTTTAGTTTGTGATTAGGTCAGTTCAAGGGGAACCATTAGTGGTAGGCCAATGTTAATTGGTGTTCAGTTGTATAAGCATTAGCACATCTCATTTCCATGGAGAATATTTGGCCCCGCCCCCTCAGTCATGGTCTATTTACTTTGAAACTTTTGCTTAGTTTACATGTATTAGTTTGTGATTAGATCAGTTTAAGATGAACTGCTAATGTTAAGTCAATGATATTTGGTATGCAAATTTATTGGCATTTGCAAGTATCGTTTCCATGGAGATTATATAGCCCAACCCCTGATCATGGTTCATTGACTTTGAAACTTTAACATAGTTTACAAGTTAATGTTTGTGTTTAGGTTTGTTTAAGAACGACTTATAATAAGTCAATGGTATTTGGTATGCAGTTGTATTAGCATTGGCACATCTCATTCCATGGAGATTGTTTGGCCATGTACCTTCAGTTATGGTTCATCGACTTTGAATATTTGTATAACTTACATGTTAAAGTATTGCTATTTTAATTTCAACATTTGCATGATCAAAATTACAAAAAGGCGAGACATATCTCTGTGATAACAGTTTATTTTACCCAAACTATGAATACAGATTCATGTTGTGGTCCAGTTTGTAGTAACTGATGCTGATGTGTCAATGCATCTTGGTAAATACATTGTTGTCAGATGGTTGTCGTTTGTTGGTGTGGTTCATAGGTGTTACTTTTTTTATATAGATTATTAGACTGTTGGTTTTCCAGTTTGAATAGTTTTACAATAGCCATTTTTGTGGCCATTTATAGCTTGCTATTCCATGTGAGTCAAGGCTCCATGTTGAAGACTTGTCTTTTGACCTATAATTATTAACTTTTATACATTGTGACCTGGATGGAGAATTGTCTCATTGACCATGTTGACACTCATACCACATCTTCTTATTTATACTGCAGATCTTAATTGGTACTGAAGTAAGCTAGACCAAGGGAAATTATGTCAATCTAACCTACATTTCACAATTGAGTATCTGTGATGAAGTTCTGCTCAATACTTTATTCTACAGCATAAACTAAAGATGATATTTTTATAACACATGGTACAATGCTAGATCTGGTTCAGAGATTGTTAAGGTGTATTACCAATGTGGAAAAAGTTATAAAGTATGTAATTGAAATTTATAAAAGGGTAAGTTTTGGCAAATTTCTGGTGATTAATGAGATTTTTGCTTAAACTGTTTCGTCCCTGCCAAGGGTACTCGTCAGGTGGCTTTAGGCTACCACTACAGTTTTGCACTATGAAAATCACAAAAATTACATACCACTATATGATGATTTTGGCTTGGTAAACATCATTAAAGTGTCAGTACACGACCTTCCTGTATTTACATTGCCAGTTGCTATGAACTCACTAATCATTATTAGCACTGCTGCCACATGCTTGCAGGATCCATGTGGTCCCCTTCCAGCTGGACATTCACAATGTGAGTTCAGTGGATCACCTGAGCTCTTTTCAAGTTTCAACCTGTAGTTGTAAGTTACCTGAACACAAAATAAATTGTAAATTTGAAGGTAATAGAAACAGAAGCAATGAAATTTCATGTGTGATCTTTTGAAGTGAAGCTGACATTTAAAAAATAATGAATAACTAAGATGTAAAAATAAATGTATCTTTCAAAACTAATAATAAGTGAAGATTCATGATTACTAAATATTTCTCCACTAAGATAAAGATTAAGAGCAGAAAGTGTAATGATACCTTTCTCTTCATAGCTGCTCCTACCACACCACTAAGAAATATCCCATTATCATTTTTTAAAATAGAACACGCTAAAACTCTATGGCTTTCAAACATCAGTTGACCATTTGTCATAGATTGCAGGTCACCACTATACACATTGTCCTCTAAAAGATAAAAATTATATTAATCAATTATAGGTATGTGTTGCTAGTCCCTAGTTTTCTATGTGAAGTTTTGTTATTGATGTTTATCCTTTTTTTTTTTTTTTATTTATTTTTGTCCGTGGTATTTTTTTTCTTCTTAAATGTATAACTTAAGAGTGTCCCTTTTGTGTCTTCCTTCTCTTTTAAATATTTAAATGTGAAGGTATAACAGTTATAATAATTAAGAAGCAAAAAGATTTTATAGGTACAAAAAAACACAGTTATTATAAATCAAGCATGAAGATCATAAATAAACAGGGTTAACAACATGTACTTACCTGCCATCCTATACAAGAAATAAGCCTCTATTTGCTCTCTTGATAATTTCGGCATGATGAGCTTGTGCTCCTTCTTCAACTGTTTAAACCCTGAAACAGGCCATTTTACCTCCAATGGCTCTGGAGCATGGATAACAGGATTTTTGAAATTCTGATTTTTATCATATGCTCTTAGTCTACAAAAGAAAATAAAAAATGTGTTTTTTGCAAATGAATTAAAAAAAAAAATGGAATGAAGTGTTCTCAAGTATACAATTACAAAATAATATTTGAGTATTCTAAAATTACATTTATTGAATTAAAATGTACAAGGCATTGGATAGTTGTCTCATGGCATTAGCAATCATATCACATCTCCTTATTTTTGTTTAAAATGAATGTTTAAAAAGTATATAATGATGTGAAGTATTCGAGGAAATAAAAACAGTAAGTATAAATAAAGAATATGTTTGAGAAACATATTTTGGAAGAAACACATACATGTACATGTAGCTGGTGCTTATTCTCTACCAAATATATACAGGGAGCATAAATACTCACTGTAATTTTTATGACTGAGGGGACTGGATATTTGTTTGCAATTCTTTCCATGGCCAAAAATATGTATCACCTATCACCTACCCAATTTTGCTATATATATATATATATTTAATATTTAATATAACTAATATTATTCAAAAGATAAATTCAAGATTGAAGTTCCTATACAGACAGGCCAAATGTTTATCAGAACAATCTAGAAAGACTCTAGTTACAGCTCTAATTCAATGTCATTTTGACTATGCCTGTTCTGCATGGTATGCTGGTGTCAGCAAAAAATATAAAGATAAGTTACAAGTATTACAAAACAAATGTGTTAGATTTATAAAAAATACTGGATATAGATCAAAAGTTGACCATAATGTATTGAATAGTATTGGTTATGTCAATATTGAAAATCGTGTTAAACAATTGAGATTAAACCATGTTCATAATATCTATTACCATCATTGTCCTAATTATATGTATACAAATTTTACAAAGGTGAGACATCTTCATCATCATTTCACACGAAATAGTGAATATAACTTCTGGGTTCCACCAGTAAAGAGTCAACAAAAAGATACATTTTATTTTAATGGCATACAAGATTGGAATATGTTGCCAAATAATGTTAAAAAAATAAAGAAAATAAAGGATTTCAAAATTAGTGTTAAAGAGTACCTGACCAAAAGTTATAGTGCGGCCTCATCAGACTTCTTTTTATATTATTAAACTCATTTTTTATTCAAATTATTCTTATATGAATTTTTTATGTCATATTAATTTGTGTGATATCTTTTTTGTATGTCGAAACTATAAGCCGTTTACATGAAGGGACCCCATTGGAAACAAGCTTTAAAGCTTTCATGGGTTATCCCTGATAAAATATCAGCAAATTTTTTTCCATGCAGTTAAAGATTATCTACACTCATAAAATACCATTATATTTTACAAAGTATGTGTTAGTAATGTCTTTATGTATCGTATATATTGAGTATTGTATTAACTCATATGCTTGATATTTTATTGAATAAAATATTATTATTATTATTATATTATTTCCTATAAAAATCTTTTTTTTTGCAGTACAATATTATGTTGAAGTTATCTCCTTCACTGGCTTCAGAGCATTAACCAACACATATAGATCTATCACTTATCTTCTTTTTTTTCTAGTGTATTTGTATTGTTCAGTCATTGGCTACTATTGATAATGATATGTACAAATATAATATTTTTTAGGTTTTATTAGATGGAAAAATATATAGCAACAAAAACATCATCAGTAAATAAAAACGTTTCTCAACAATAACATAATCAAATACACAAACGAACCTGTGAAAATACTTTTTCTTTTGGTACCAAGTTGAATAATATTCGACAAGAAATTGCTTAAAAATATATCTTTGAAAAAACGTGATGTGGCATCATGTATGCATGTACATCATACTACATGTAAATTGTAATGGAAACCGGCAGACTTTAGCAGGGTATAAGGATCAATATGCTTCATTAAAAATACACATTATATTTAAAAACCTTTCAATAAGGTCTGCCTTTCTTCCTGTTCCAACTGCACCACGACTTGCCAGCTCATTCTTTAACTTTTTAAGAGGCCAGTACAAGTACTTGTCGTTGACGTCCATTTGTTTAAGGATGCTATAAACAGTTTCGTATAAAAAACTAGGGGTTATTCCCCGACTAAAAATAACCATGGAGGGAAATCCCTTTTTATTCATATAATTGGTGAAAAAGTATCATGTTTTTTGTATTTGATTGTAAAAATTAGTTAATTAGCTTTCAAATTAAACAGGTTGAATGATTAAAATAATTTTAAAAATAAGATTAAATATTCATGTTTTGAGGGGAGACAACACTGTAAACATCCTGTTTTTTTGGCAGTGAAAATTGAAAACTTATTTGCAGCCACTGTAGCTCTTTTCGAAGCAGGAAACCGTACCCTGAAACAAGATTTTTATTAAAGGCCAGGTAAAAACCTATGAATTTCATACAGTTTTGATTATGGGAAATGTGCCTGTATCATGTTTACATGGGTATGCACATGACCTGATTTCAGGTTTTTTATGTTCAGATTAGGCAACTTTTTCCCCATTTTCTCTGGATAGAACTTTTTTACTATATTAAAAGTACAGTATATTATTATTTCCATATAAACTAGAGAAAATTCTGATTCCAGTAATATCTAGTTTTATACAAGTATCTTTATTAACCATTCCACCACTAAGGGTCACTTAGGCATGGTCCCTTAAAATATGACGTCATAGAAAAAACTGTTGATTGCACCCTATCTACAGTCGGACAACCGGAAGTCCCTTTTAGGGCAAAATGTGATCCGTCTCTAATCAGTGACCTTCCGCCGTTTGAGATCTATTTCGTGCACTTTGTAAAGAAAAGAAGGTAGCCCCGAAAAGTAACCTTTCATCTTTTAGTTACGACTGAAGACTACTCATGCCGTTGTTTGCAGAGAAAATTAAAAGGACGAATATGTATATCCTCAATAATCTCCTCGTTGCACAAAAGCATAAACAAAATAAAATAAAATATTTTCCAGAGCATTTTTTTGCCGAGGACATGAAATGAAAATGTGACAATAGCCAGTTCCAGCGAAATAGGTACAAAATAATGTTATCTCATGAAACTCAATGACAATACACATATAAAAACTACAGAATCTGGGCGATAATTTAAGATATGTTTCTATGTGTCTCTCGCATGAACAAAAAAGTGTACCTATTTTTTATTGGGGTAAAATATTTGTTGACATTTTACGCAGATCACTCGCATCTTTTCCGATTTTATTTCCTTCGTTATTTCCTTATTTGAAAACTTTTTGTTGTGAATTTTTAATGCCTATTAAATCATGATTTACAGATTGGAATTTTATAAAGTTTTATGAAAATATTTAGAAAAAATATAACAAAAAAACATATTTTCTGAAGACGATGACCATCAGCCATTGCGTTCTTTTCTTCCGGGGCGGGCTTGGCATACAGACGTAAATCCCATTTCTGCTGTGAAATCAAGAAAATTTGAAGAAAATATAAGTTTAAATAGTACAGAATTGTATAAAAATTGAAAAACTTGTCACATTTTCCAATATATTCTCATTTTTAGGGCTATTTTGTTGATTATTTCCCCGGGTATTAGATTTTGATCGAAGAAGATTCCAGAAAAATAACTGCTTCTTTATAAATCTTTCATAATGTCAGTGTTCAAGTATGAAGAAGAATTTCCACTGCTATCAAGCTCAAGGGGGAACCTTGCAATAAAACAGTTGTTGAGTAGGCCGTTGCTTCAACAACATGTACAAATTTCAGTTTTGAAAAAGCCATCTGACATGTCTGACCAAGTGAGGAGTAGTGAGGCCTCTCAAGTGTCTGTTCATGGCAGACCCTTGGGTAAAACATACAAGGGCAAAATTTATACACACAAAAAGGATTCTACACCTCTTACAAGCCCCTTAGTACCTAATGGTAGCATCTCCTGCAAGAAATCAGTGTATACAGGCAAACAAGTCTCAAATAACATGGCACACCTCAGTACAAACATGTTTTCAGTATTGGCTAACTTGGACAAGACATCTAGTAGAAAAAAACACAATAAAAAGCAAGACAAAGCTATGCAATCCAACAAAGGTTTACAAGAAGAATCCATAAGTAAACAATGTAAAAATGATGAGATTTTACCACTCAAAAA